CCATAAAAATGTATTACCTTCCCTGCACTTGCTAAATATTTGCTATGCTCAGAAAGTAGACACATGACTCTTGCTATGCTTTGGGGGCCCAATTCTTGGGCCTAGTTCTTTGGATTTTCATCTTATTTTTTGTGTAGCTCTGATAGCAGGTACTGTTAGTGTCCGCCCCCCACCCCCCAATATCTCCTTGTCATTTGCCACTCCTATGCATACCTGTTTTTCCATCCACAACCCCTGCAGTCCTTTGGCTGAGGGCTTTCTCTGGTTGCCCAGGGATAGCAGAGAAGAGGCCAGTAGTGCAGGGAGTGAAGGACCTCCCTCCAGCAGCTCTACCAGTGACTGATGGGAGTTGGTGGATACATACCCCAGCTCCCTCACCCCTCAGGGGGATAACTGAGATGTGTTCCAGTTTTCTGGCCATCCCTGGGGGGACTGAGGCCCCGTTTCCCACAATGATAAACTTCAGTAATGCATACTATTGGTTTCCTTCCCTTCCTTGACTTGCTTATCCTCATTCCCTTACCACAGCTTACTGGAACCACCTCCCAGAAAATTACTTGGAATCTAATATCGCTCCTGAGTGAGTCCAACCTAAGACAACCACATGCTCTTCTGGAAAATTCCTATTCTGCTTAAATTGGCAAGACTGTGTTTCTGTTGCTTGCAACCCATGAATTAAAAGTCTGGGGTGGTATCACATCCCCCCTGGCCATAATAACCTCTGGTCGTCTTTCTAAAGACCCTCAGAGCTCTGGAAGGGGAGAAACAGTGTCTCATGAGCCTTTGTTATAAGTTTTTTCATATGTAAGCTCAGAGGACTTGAGCTCTGAGCTATGCCTATGAATGGAATTGCTTGGATGACACACGGCCCAGAATACCAGGTCTCTTGTAATCTCAGGTCACTTCTAGGGTGAGGAATGGACTAAAATTCCTTCCTCGTTGATAATGATCATGCCAGAATTCCACACACGGAGAGAAGTTAGGTACTAAAGCTGATGTTTGTGAGCCCTGCAGATGAGCTTGGGATGGCTTTTGGAGTGAAGCACTACATCTAGGTGTTGGAGATGCTGGATTCTTGGGACAAAAACTAGAAAAATGTGATCCTTGGAATAGAGTGCTACCTCTATTCCCTTATGGACATAGCATACAGTGGTCGCTAACTGAATCTATTGGGCCAACTGGAGACCAGCCTGGTCCTCAGAGTTCTCTGAAGCCCTCGAGTCCAGTTGAGAATCTGGAGTTGGGCTCCTTGCAGCATGAGCAAAGGCTTGGAGGCATAAGAAGCCTGGTGGGTGGTTCTATCTAATGGAGTGAAGGGTTAAGTGGCAAGAGATAAAGTTCAAGAGGCTAGCAAAGGATGTGTCATGGAGGATGTGTATTGTATGCCAAGGAGTTTGCTTTTCATCCTTGAGTCAATAGTGATTGAATAATTTTAATTGAATTGACCAATAATAATTGAATAATATTAAGCAGGGGGATCATGTGGTTTTTTTGCATTTCAGAAAGATTGCTCTGGAAGTGGAATGGAGGATGAATTTGAGTTGGTGAGGCCTTAGGCAGGGAGACAATATGAGTAAGGAAGGTGAGAGATCATGGAGGCCAAACTACAGTAACAACTGAGGAAATGTAAAGGAGGTGATAGATATGACAGATGGAGAGGAGGTGAAATCAGTAAGACTTGACTCCTTGAATGTAGAAGTAAGTGTGGGCACCTGGATGATGGTAGCACTGTGCACCCAGATGGGGGGACTTGGAGGTAGGGTATCTTTGGGTGGGTAAGTTGACTTCTGGCTATATTGAGTGAATGTCTATGAATATCTCTATCACTATTCTATCACTGCTCTAACCACAGCATTTCATAAATACTGGTTCAAGTGTCCACGTGTCCATTCCTCTTCCCCACCACTATAAACTGCAGGATGTTTCTCACTCATCTCTGCGGCCCCAGGACCTGGCACCGTGACCAGTACCCAACAGTAGGTACTTAATAAGTGTCCACTGAATGGCAGGGTGGGTATCCCCATGGAGGAATGACTTCAGTTGTTCCCTTTGTTGAGTCCTTCTTGAAGTCATATCCCAAACAAGGAGATGATATCTCCCTTTGAAGGCATAGAGGTGTGCCCTCTCCTCCTACTGACACCGTGGGGCCCTGCAGCCTTAGACCAGGCAGAATAGGAAGTGGCCAGAACTGGGACCTGGACTCAGGTGGCTAAGGAGTCCAGGACAGGACAGGCTGTGGAACTGGCTGTGCCTAGACCAGGCCTCCCTGGAGTGGGTGCCCACACCTGGGCTGCTCATAGCAGGTGGACGGGCAGGTGGGGGCACTTGAGGCTGGAGGAAGGGTGGAACAGGATGTAGGCCGAGGGGCCAGGGATAGTCCAGGGGCAAGCTGACCGTGCTGTCTGTGCCATCTGGCAGACTCGGGCCTGCTTGAGCTCAGCTCACCCACCTTATAAAAAACAACAAGGCCAGTGTTCCTTCCACTTATCAGCAAGGCTTGTGACTCAGACCTAATGGATCCTGCACTGTCGTCATCAAGGAGGGGCTGTATTCTTTGAGGAGCTGGGCACCAGTCCAGGTCTTAGCAGGCAGCATGAAGGCTACTTGGTAGGCCAGGGAGTGTTGGCTCAGCCAGCTCACATGTCCCAGCCTTCACTCTGACGAGGGGCAGGAGATGGAGGAATCACCTGCTCCCCTGCTCAAGCCCAGTTTCAGAGCACCTCTGCCTTTACTGTATTGATCCTAGCACTTGGGTAGGTGCCCAGGACTTTTAAGGCTTGGCCTCTGCCTACTTCCAGGATCCTCCAAGCAAGACGCTTCCTGGCATCACAACAGCCACACACATCTCACCTCACAGGCCCTCACAGCGGCCCTGGGACTCAGGCTGGTGTTGGTACATAACAGTGTGCTCACTTCTCAGATGGGAGCATTTGTGCAGGCCTAGAGGTGAAGGGATGCACCCAAGTTCACCCAAGTTGGTGGCTGGGTTGAGATCCGAGTAAGAGCTGGCCCTCATCTCCTACTACTCAATTCCTTGTTTATTCTACCCTAACCACAATGGGCGCCTTGATATTTGCCTCTGGAGCATGCCAAGCTTGTTCCCATCCCAGGACCTTTGCACTTGCAGCTCCTCCGCTTAGCAGGCTCTTCCCAGAGGTTTCTGCAGGACTTGCTCCTTCAGCTCGTGTGTCACTATCTAAAAGAGCAGCCTCCTTCCCTTTGTCACTTTCTCCCCTTATGCCATGTAATTTCTCTTCTACATAACATACCAGGGAAGCCAGCCTCTTGTGTGTTCAAAGCCATCCAACACTGAAACTGGTAGGTAGTGAGCTCCTCATCACTAGAGGATGAATGACTTGCTGGTGGGCTGCTATAAGGCCTGAGTAAAAGATGGGAGACAGATAGATGACCTTTAAGTTCCCCTCCCTTTATGGGATGATGTTCTTGCTCTGGGACAGGAAATTATCATTAAATATTTGCTCTGCTAAACAGTAAAAGGATAGCTGCCACCTGCCTCAGAGGCACCTGAGGGTTATGAAGCTTCCTTAGGAGGGGCAGGAGGATCCTGAAACTGAGTCACGGATCTCAGGCTGGGCTGGGCTGCAGATCTGGGGCTTCTGTTGGTCTGTGGGGGTGACTGTCTGGCTGCCTGGGAACCCCAAAGGGTTTCTTCTTTTGATATTTTAGAGAGAGAGAAACATCAGTGTAAGAGAGACACATTGATTGGTTGCCTCGTACATGTGCCCTGACTGGGGCCAGGGATTGAACCTGCAACCCAGGTATGTGTCCTTCACCCAGAATCAAACCTGAGACCCTTTGGTGTGCGGGCTGACACTCTAAACACTGAGTCACAGCAGCCAGGCCAACAGGGTTCTTCTTGGACAAGAATCCTCCCCATTGACTAATTTAACTATTCTCACAATTTATCTGTAAGCTTGAAATCTTCCTAAGTAAAAGTTTTTTAAGTGCTGAAATTTTGATTCAAATATTTTTGAGTGAGGTCCAGCTTCTGTAGTTTTAAATTCTCCCATTGGAAATCTAATCTGCAGATGGAGCTGAAAATTACTGATCCAAATATGTAAATAAAATTTTGTGGGCTTAAAATTTGTTTTAATATGTTTTTATTGATTTTTAGAGAAAAAGGGAGAGGGATAGAGAGATAGAAACATGGATGAAAGAAAAACATCAATCAATCAGCTGCCTCCTGAATGTGCCCCACTGCGATTGAGCCCACAACCTGAGCATGTGCCCTGTGCCCTGACTGTGATTTGAATTGTGATCTCTTGGTTCCTGGGCTGACACTCAACCACTGAGCCACACCTGCCGGGCATTTGTTGTTGTTGTTGTTGTTGTTGTTGTTAAGCCTCACCTGAGGATGTTTTTTCCACTGCTTTTTAGAGAGTAGAAGGGAGGGAGGGAGGGAGAGAAAGAGAAAGAGGGAAACATCGATGTGAGAGAGACACATTAACTGGTTGCCTCTCTGCCGCTCAACCAGGGGCAGGGAACAAACCTGAAACCCAGGTACATGCCCTTGACCAGGAATTGAATCTGCGCCCCTTTGGGATGCAGGCTGCACTCTAACCAAACCAGCCAGGGCTTGTTATTCTTTTAATAAAGCAGATAACCAAATATCTCATTCATAAATATTGCATATATATGGAGTAGTTTTAGATACTGATCTTATCTGCATTAAACCCTTATAGTGTTTTATTTTGTCCTTTCCCCCGGTCAGTTGTGCCTTCATATGATGCAAAAAGAAAGAAAGAAAAAGTAGCCTTAACCGGTTTGGCTCAGTGGATAGAGCATTGGCCTGCAGACTGAAAGGTCCCAGGTTCGATTCCGGTCAAGAGCATGTACCTTGGTTGCGGGTACATCCCCAGTAGGAGGTGTGCAGGAGGCAGCTGATCGATGTTTCTAACTATCTCTCTCCCTTCCTCTCTGTAAAAAATCAATAAAATGTATTTAAAAAGAAAAGAAAGAAAAGGTGAACTTCTGTTTACCTTTATACCTCATTTCATACACTGCAAAATGTTTTCCCATCTGCTATCAACACTCTCATCTTCACAGCAGCCCTATGAGGTAGACAGAGCCAGAATTATCACCCCCATTTTGTGCACAGGTAAACTGAGGCTGTTTTATTTTTATTTTTTTTACAATTCTTTTTTTAAAAATTGTTTTATTGCTTAAAGTATTACAAAGAGTATTACATATGTCTCCTTTTTTTTTTTTTTTTTTGGTAGAGGCATTCCAGCCCATTTTCTCTGCCTCCTGCCACCTTCCAGTGCTTTTTCCTCTTTCTTTCTGAACTGCCTTCCCTCTCTCTCTCTCTCTCTTCGGACTCGGTTTCTCTGTTTTTCTCTTTCTACTTCCAATTTCCCTTTCCCTCTTGCTCCAGCCCTCAGACTGGCAGCAACTTTGTGAGTTGTCCAACGTTTCCTCAATTTGAAAATCTGCCAGCTCAATAACCACAGTCCCACCCACCTCAGCCCAGCATCTCCGCGTAGAGAAAGCCCTCTCCGGATGCCAAGGTGCAGAGATTACTCAGGATGCCACTCCTGGCCTCTCCATCTGGCCCCAGATAAGATAAGGGGAGGGCTCAGCACTATAAACAGGCCCCCATCCTTCCCCCGGCCCAGGCTTCACTAGCCGAGCCCACACCAACCAGGATCAGCATGGCCGTCCGTCTGTGGGTGGTCGCCCTGGCCTTGGCTGCCCTCCTCGTTGTGGACAGAGGTGAGTGGGGCAGAGCTTGGATTCCCTATGGCTTGGCATTGGTAGGTGAGCTTGGGGTGGGGGCAGAGGCTGGGCCTGGAGCACTTCTATGAGGCTTCAATTTTCTGCATATAACTTAAAATTTTTTTAAAAAAACACAATATCTATTTTATTGATTTCAGAGAGGAATAGAGAGGGAGAGAGAGATAGAAACATCAATGATGGCAGAGAATCATTGATCGGCCGCCTCCTACATGACCCACACTGGTGATCCAGCCCGCAACCCAGGCATGTGCCCTGACTGGGAGTCGAACCATGACCTTGTGATTCATAGGTCAATGCTCAACCACTGAGCCACACTGGCCAGGCTGCATATAACTTTTTCTGCACCCCTCCCACCATCATGGGAAAAGCTCTGGGCTAGGAGAAAAGAAATCTGGGTTCAGTTTCTGATTCTGGCCTAGAATTGCAAAAATCCTTTCCCCTCTTGGGCCTACATTTCTCCAGCTGTAAAGTAGGAGGTTGTCCTAGTTAAAAGCTGCACTGAGCAACTACTGGGCTAGAGATCAGGGAGGCAGAAAGGAGCAGGCCTATCTCGTCTGCTGGTTGCAAGCTGGTGGGTCTAGAAGGAAGGCTGGCCTGGGTGCTCTTAGCTTCCAACCATTCTGACAGGCTATCGCTGTGGGACTGAGAGCAACCATATGAGCACATGGAAGCCCCCTCTTCCTGGGAGCATTTGCCCTGGATTGGACACATGCAGCTGAAATGGGGCCTCCTCAGAGCCTGGGGCACCTCTGCAGTCTCATATCTGTTGTGTTATAAGGCTTTGTTCTCATTGTTCTTGACCCTTCAGACATATCAGTGAGCTTAAATCCAATGGGTGGGTGGGTGGGGTGATGGGAGGGAATGAGCAGTAGACAAGATAGGTGCAATGTATGTCAAACAGTATGTTAGAAGGTGATAAAATATGAGGCAGAGAGATGGGTTTGGGGTGGGGTTGTAAGGAAAAATCAGGGGAACTTTTCCTCAGAGGCTGATGTTTGACTAAAGCTTGAAGGAGATGAGGGAGTGAGCCATGTGAATATCTGAAAGAAGTAGGTTCCTGGCAGAGGGAACAGGCAGTGTAAAGGCCCTGAAGTAGGAGTCTTTGAGATACTGCAAGGAGGCCAGTGCAGTTGGAGGGGCGTGAGAGGCAGGAGAGATAATAGAGGAAACCAGGAACTATAGTGCGTGAGGCCTCGAAGGCCAATGTGAACTTGGCTCCTCCTCTGAGTGAAATGGGGGGTACTGAAGAGTTTTCATCAGGAATGTCGTAAAAGGATCACTCTGGTTGCTGTTGAGAAGACTAAAGGGGGAAGCAAGGAGACAAAGCCATGGTGTTACAGGGCAAGGCCCGGCAGGACGTCAAGGCCATCGACCTCATGGCCAGTCCCACAGACATTTCCCCAGCTGGGGACTCAGAGAATGGGTCTGGGGCTTCTGTCCCAGCACAGCCTGCTCACTCACAGCCTGGCTTCCTTTCCCCAAGTACTTCTCCTGGTGGGAACACTGAGGAGGCCTGCTCTGAAGGGAGTCCTTGTGCCCATTTCAGATTCCTGCCTTGGCTGAGTGAGAAGGGGATATCTTGGGCCCAAGTCCAGGGCAGCCTGGGGTAAATATAACCTCTTCTCACATCCTCCAGGAAGAAACTCTGACACCACAGGGTTATGAACTCTTCCCCACAATGCACTTTAGGGGTCAATTCCTGAACCCTCGCTGCATGGGGGCATTGACACTCGGAGGCAGAGGCAAGGGGAGCCCTAAGGAACTCAGGCCCATAGGAAGACAGGAGTGACCCAGTGGGACAGCACATGGTGGCATGAAAGCTGCTGCTATGGTCTGAATGATGGTGGCCCCCCAAATTCATATGCTGAAATCCCAATCCCCAAGGTGACCAGAAAGTAGGTCATGAGGTCGGAACCCTCATGAATGGGATTAGTCTCCTTATAAAAGAGGCCCCCGAGAGCTGCCTACACCATTTCACCATTAAGGACATAGCAAAAAGGCACAGGCTATGAGCCAGGAAGAGGGCCCTTACCAGATACCAAATCTGCTGATACCATGACTCTGAACTTCCCACATTCAGAACTGGGATAAATAAATATGTTTTTATTTTTAATTATTTTTAAAATGTTTTTTAATTGATTTTTTTTTTTTTGAGAGAGAGGGATAGAGACAGAAACATCATTGAGAGAGAAACATCATTGAGAGAGAAACATCATTGATCGGCTGCCTCCTGTGCTCTCCACTCCGTTGCCCGCCCCCCCGCCACCCCCTGCCAGGGGATCGAGTCTGCAACCCCTGGGTATGTGCCCTGACTGAGAATCAAACCGGTGAACCGGTGGCCTCTTGGTTCCTGGATTGATGCTCCACCCCTAAGCTACAGCAGCCAGGCTACTTTTTATTTTTAATAAGAATTTATTTGAGCCAAACTGATGGCATATACTGGGAGCAAGATCTCAAATGCTCCCCAAATGTTTGTTTTGTTTCTAAGACACCTAGTTTGTGGGATTTTTGTTATAGCAGCCCAAACTAAAACTGAAGCCTAAATCCAGGTCTGCTCAGGAAACCCTGGGGGACATCAGGGAAGGCTTCTCCGGAAGGTACATCTGAGCCTTGAGAAAAGGGTGTGAGACAATAGGAGAAGGGGAATAAGGGCATTTCCGGCAGAGGCCACAGTATGAGCCAAAGTAAAGCCTGTTCTAGGAAGAGTAGGCTGCGAGTGTAGGAACATGGAGGTGTGTGTACTAGGAAGTGAGTCCAGGGTGAAGTTTGGGAGCAGCTCATGTAGTGTCCTAAACATAAAATGAAGGAGCTTAGTGATCCTGACAGGCAGCCATGGAAGGGCTTTATATTTTTTTAATGGTTTTTTTTGTCCCCTAATAGTTACTATGGAAGGCACAAAATTCAATGAAAGTTGAGTGCATATAAATGTGTAACCCAGACCTCTATCAAGATACAGAATATTTCTGTCACTCCAGAAATTTCCATGTTAGTCACCCCACTCCCACCCCCTTCCCAGAGGCAACCACTGCTCTGTATTCCAGCATAGATTTGTTTGGCCTGTTATAGCACGTCACTTAAGTTGCGTTTATTCTTCCAGTCTGCCCTTGACCTTGGCCCAAGGTGCCCCTCCACACAGTATGTAGTCTTTTGTACCTGGCTTCTTTGCCTCAGCATGTTGTTGAGATTTAGCCATGTTGTCACATTATCAGTTATTTGCTCATTTTTTAAAATATATTTTATTGATTTTTTACAGAGAGGAAGGGAGAGAGAGAAACATCGATGAGAGAGAAACATTGATCAGCTGCCTCCTGCACATCTCCTACTAGGGATGTGCCCGCAACCAAGGTACATGCCCCTGACCGGAATCGAACCTGGGACCTTTCAGTCCGCAGGCCGATGCTCTATCCACTGAGCCAAACTAGCTTCGGCTTTTTTTTTTTTTTTAACATCTATGAGAGAGAAGCATCGAGCAGCTGCCTCCTGCACATTCCCCACTGGGGATGTGCCCACAACCAAGGCACATGCCCCTGACCGGAAGGAATTGAACCCGGGACCCCCCTAGTCCCCAGGCCGACGCTCCACCCAGCGAGCCAAACCGGCCAGGGTTGTTTGCTCATTTTTATGGTTGAGTTGTATCTCACTGTATGTGTGTGTCATAGTCTATCCGATCTCCTGTTGCAGGACATTCGGTAATTTCCAGTTTTAGAAATTATGACATGAACGGGTTTGGGGCAGTGTGTGACAAGGCTAGGTTTGCATTTTGATGCCCAACATCAGGCATGAACAGCACACCAGAGGTCACTGTCTCAGTTCCCGTTTCCCTCTACCTTGGAAATCTTTTGTAATAGCATTCCCAGGAGCTAAAACCAGTGCCTTGTAATCCTCTACTTCTGGAGACAGCCCCCTTCATTGGGGCATAACTCCCACTGAGAGAACATTCCGGAACCCAAACCTGAAGCCTCCTTGCTCAGACAGGCTCTGCCCTAGCAAACTGAGGTCTCCCCTTGGCCTCAAGACAATCATTCAGAGATTTTAGGAAACATCCTGCCCTTTTCCACTCTACATAAACCGCTTTCCTTCCACCTGTGGTGTTAGACATGGCTCCTGTCTCACCCACCCATCACACTCACCGGTCACCTCACAATTCGCTCAGGTCCTGTAAGCAGTTCATCCAGACCTTGAGGGGCCATGGAACACACCAATGTGTGTGGGAAGAGCCAGGTTAGGGAGTGACAGACCCGTGTGCAAATCCCAGCTCTGCCCTAACAAGCTGTGTTGCTTGACCTCTGAGCCTCCTTTATAGGTTGGTCCAGTTCCCCAGGAAAGACTCAGATATGCATGCGGTTTATGGGGCTAAGACCCTTAAGGGATTAGGGACGTTGACTCTGATGAGCCTACGGGAGCCTTGGAGCTGGGGAGGCCCTTTAGCATTGTTCTGAACAGAGACGAGGGCTTCGGGCTGTTGTACCTGCATCAATCTGTAATTGGAGGTGGGCTGTTCCTGGGTAGGGGATGGGACCTTAAGCGAGGTAGCTCCATTCTCTGAGAGTAATTCCTAGGAAGGGCCTCACTATGAATGGCCAATACTCTTGGAAGCTGAGGAAATGAAGGTGTCAGTCCCAGGGGTGGGCTCTAGGTAGCAGACCCTAGCACCCACTGCTCGCTCCGTTCCTCCATTACACAGCATGAGAGAGGTATGAAGGGTAGTAAGATCATGTATTCTCGCTTGGCACAGATTGTTATTTTTATTATTACACTAGAGGCACGATGCACGAAATTCATGCAAGGGGCTTGGCACCGGCTGTCTCAGCCTTCGCAGCCCCAGCTGCCTTGGCCCTTGCAGCCCTGGCTTCGTCCGGAAGGTCATCCAGACGGTCTTTCTGCTGTTCGGTCTAATTAACACATTAGCTCTTTATTACATAGGATGGGACATAATTCCAGTGGAATCTGACTAATAAGCAACAGGCTGGACTGCTCTTAATTCTAGATTTTCTGTCTCTGTTCATGTAACCCAAGGTCACATCAGCTTTCTGGGAGTCCCCCAGTCTGATAACTCACTGCCTTTCCGTGAGGAATTCGAGGTTGGCCAGTGGCTGGAACAGGTCCTCTGAAGCAGTCTTCAGATCCCTGGACTGGGGAGCTTAGAGCAGACATCACCTAATTCTTGCTGTTTTGCCTTTCAGGAGTGCCAGTGTCAGGAGAAAAGCTCGTTTTCTCAAGAATGGTAAGGCAGCCACTTGCAGTTCTGGCCTTCCCTCTGCGGAGGGAGCCCTCCCATCCATGCTGGAAAACCAGCGTTGGTTTTCCTTTACACCCCTGCTCAGATAACTCCCATGGCTCCACACTGCCAGGGTGGTTTCCCAAGCCGTGTTCCATGGATTAGTCCTCCCAGACTGAGCAGGCCCAGCCTCTTTGCCGAAGTCCCCAAACTGGCATCAAGCCCCTGCCAGCAGCGAAATCCCCCCACCCAGGCTCAGCAGGATCAATGTACTCTGGCTACAAGCAGAGCCCTGGGTTCCCATCACTGCCTCTCAATCCCTAAGTGCCCTCCCTCCTGTCTTCTCTCTCATAGCCCTACTGTGAGCATATGGCAGAGTCGCCAGACTGTTCCCAGACATCCAACCTGGTCTGTGGCACTGACGGGGTCACATATGCAAGTGAATGCCATCTTTGCTTAGCCCGGATGTAAGTCCACCCCCCACCTTCCCCTGTGTTTGCTTGCGTGGGGCTCCATCTCTGCTGCATACAAGTCTGAAAGGAGCAAGACTTGATCTGCCTCCTCCTTCACACACACCTGACCTAGGAAGAATCCCCAACATTTGCTCCTAACAGAATGAGCACAAGTGTAATTCATGCACATGGTTCTAAGCAGAAAGCTGCAGCTGGTGAGAGGTGGGGAGTGAAGACACTGATCCTGACTAGGTGACTTCATTTGATTATTAATTCATCCAGTCAACAATTATTTATTGAGCACCTATTATGTACTAGACACTGAGGAAACAACAGGGCATAAGCTAGACAGCATCACTGGCCTTCTGGGGCAGTCAGTCAGTCTAATGGGGAAGCCATGTTGACTGTTAGCTAACTATAGAATAGAATGCTAAAGGCTTGTATGGGAGTACACAGGGTTCTATGGGTATAGGGCAAGGGTAGGGAAGACTTCCCAGCTTTGAGGTGTAAGTAGAAATTAGCTAGGAAAATGAAGAAACAAGGGAAGGTAATTCTAAATAGAGAAATGAGTTTTGGAAAGATCTAGAAGGGAAAGTTTATATTTGAGGAAATATAAGAAGTTGGATATGCTGGAGTAGAAAATTTAAAGGAGAATAGGAGAGAGGCAAGAAATGAGTCTGGAGAGGCAGGACCAAAATATGACCTTGGTACATCTGAACACTCATTTAGTCTCATGTCTTCACCAATAAGACACTTGAGCTGGTCAGAGCTAAGTGAGATCATGGAAGAGAAGAAAGTCTTTGGAAGCTAGAATGCACTAGACAGATGTGCAAGAGAGCAGCAGGACAGTCTAACTTAGGTCATGACTAAACACTCAGGATTATATCAGGGGAGAAGTGACAGCTGTGAGATTGGATGTGAGGGATGATGGAGGAAGAGGCAAAAACAACATCTGGTTTCTAACTTGTGGGTTTGGGCGGTTGGTGGTGCCATGTGCCAAGGTAAGAAACAGGGATGTAGCAGGTTTGTGGGGTGATGATGCCTCTGGACAGTTGAACCTCTGGGACATCCCAGTGGAGACATGGCTAGAGTTTAGGACAAAAGTCTGGGCTGGAGATAGGTTTGCAGCTATCAGTATGCTGTGGTGGTTGAGACCCTAGGAAGCTGAAACCTCCCAGGGGAGTGTGTGCAAGAAGGAAAAGCTATAGAGAGATGCCCAGGCACCCCTGGGGTCTGCCCGCCACCGTACACTAAGTGGGTGGTAGGGCTCAGCAGGGTGTCTGAATGGACTTTACCAAGGTCCCTGAAGGGTGCGTTACAGTTCCTGAGGAGGTGGCCTCATCCCTGTCTCCTGTGATCCTAGGAAAACCAAACAGGACATCCAGATCGTGAAGGATGGCAAATGCTGATCCCAAGGAACCTTGTAAGCCATGAAGCTTCAGGCTGGAGAACAGTGGTGGGAGTGGAGAGGATGTGACATGAAATAAAAGATCCAGCCCAACCCAGCCAAGTGGGCCAGTATTTTGGGGGACTCTGGGGAGGAGGTTGTGGATCTGGTCCCACCCTCCATACTCTGAAACTAATGTCCTTGCCATTGCTCCAGTGCTCCTCAACCCCATCACGTGTCCCCCGAGAGATCCCTTTCTGAGGTCAGGGTTCTGAGAGGCCAGCCCCTGGCCTCAGCACTCTCTCTGCTCAGTGCTCCTGTCTGAGTAAGGCCAAGAACCTAGGTGAGACCTATGCCCTCTGCCACTGTCCAGGTGCATGGCCCCAGCTTCAGAAGCCTTTGTGAGGGTCCCACAACCCTTCATGGCTTTCTCCCTGGCTGACACAGCACCCCAACCCCCCCTCCCCCAACACACACACACAACACACATGCACACAACCACAGCTGATGTTCAGGTAGTGTACACAGTACAACTGAACTGTTTGTTAAAATACTGAACTAGCTCTGGCTGGTTTTCTCAGTGATTAAAGCGTCGGCCCTTGGACTGAAGGGTTGCAGGTTTGATTCTGGTCAAGGCCACATACCTTGGTTATAAGCTCAATCCCCAGCCTGGTCGATAACTGTGGGAGGTAACCAGTCTCTCACATCGATGTTTCCCTCTCTGCCTCTCCCAGTCCCATCCACTCTTTCTAAAAGTCAATGGAAAACATAGCCTCAGGTGAGGATTAACAAGATAAAAAAATAAGTTTTGAACTAGGTCTGTAACAGTTGAAACAGGTGCTGCCTCAAGCCCTTGATGTCCCCCTGCACCCTGGCCACCCACAGCAGGATGACTCCAGAACCTGCTCTCTTTTGGCCAACGTCCACTCCAACTGGCTGTTAAACACACTGACATTAGACACAACCCCAGCACACAGCACACATGCACTCATACAACGGCCCTCAGGAATACAGAGCATTCAGAAATCCGACCACAGAGGCCCCAGCCTACAGTATATGTCAACTATCCCCTCTTTAGGCCAAAGCCTACAGGGAGAACCTCTTGACAATGGTGGTAAGGAAAAGAGTGTAGAGGGGCCTGGCCAGATGGGAGCATTTCACATGGACACTGATTCCTATTCTAGTGAGGGCAGATAAGGCAGAAAATTCTGTGGGAAAGCACACACATTTCAGAGGAAAGTGGGGGCAGGGAAGGCAGGAACTAACATTCCCTGAAACACAGAAATGGGAACCTAAGCAGGAATTGCTGCTGATAGATTTGAAACTATTATAGGGTCAGGGAGGTCATCTACAGGCCCTTCCACTGCTACTGACAACAGAAACTCCTGTTTCCCCCTGCATATGAATAACTAAAATGAATCTGGGCAGTAAGAGACAGAAAAGCTGAAATAACGGTGCCTTAAACAGAAGTTCATTTCTTTCACACAGACCTATTATATTATTAGTCTGCCATCCTCATCAGTTTCTACCTCAAGGTCAGAGACAGCTGCTCCAAATCCAGCTATCTCGTCTACATTCCAGCCCTCAGAAAAGAAAAAATGGCAAACTGCCTCTGAAGATGCTTCCCAGAAGATGTACATAATATTTACATCTCATTGGCTAAAACGATGTTATCTTTTGTCCATCCTAGCACAAGGAGACTGGGAAATATCGTTTTTAGCTATTTGGCCATGTGCTAAGCTGAAAACTAGAGGTTTACTTATTGTAGCAGAATGGGTATTTGTGACATTTAAAAGTCTCTGCTCAAGTCTTATACTCAAGTGGCATATAGTTCAGCCAAGCTTCTCAGTGACCCTTTTCTCCCAGGCTTCCACTCATACAATGAGGAATCACAAAGATTCTGCCTGAGCAATGTGCCAGGCACCACATTGGAAAAAGTACCTAATTCCCACTTTACAAATGTAGAAACTGTGGCCTTGTCTCTGGAAACCACCCCAAAATATAAGTGTGGGCCCCTAAAAACCCTATCTATGTCATATGACCCTGCTGCTCTGGCCACGGCTGATTTGGCCAAAAGATTCTTTAGGATTTTTCAAATTGGAAACAAGGGAAACACTCGGTTCCTCTCTGGCAGCAAAGCTGTAAGATGTGTTTCCTACTTCATGGAAGGATTGAGAGAAAGATGCTGACATACAAAGAAGATATAGAAAGCGATTCCAGGCAGTGTTTGAGGTCCTGAAATCCAGCTGTCCTTGAACTTCCAGTTACATGGGATAACTTGACATCCTGTCAATAAATTTTCATTTCAACAATGTCTTTGAAATTATGTTTCTGTTTCTCTCAACTAAAAGAAGCTTAACCACCAGATAAAAAAGGGATTCTCAGAGGAGGTAACCTTTACGTTATGGAGGATAATTAGGAATTGTTGACTAAACAGACCGCATGTGGAGGATCTTATAGTTCTGTGAGGCTGAAGGAAGTTTATGGGATCACAGAGCCCTATTTGTTCCCCTGAGGTAGGGCGGATCATGTTCTAGGAAAACAGGCAGTTGAGAAGGGATGTTCTCTCCCTGTTCACAAGCAGATCCCTCTGGATGGGTAGGTCTGTGCAGGGAAGGCTGTGTGACCAGGCCCCAGTAACCACCCTGCACGCCTGCTAAACAGCCCATGACTTAGGGCCTCTTTGCTCAACCCTTAAATGATGACTGTTAATACTGTAAATTCCAATGCGTTTGACATTTGTTCTACAAATATTTATTGATCATCTACTATAAACCAGACAATGTGTTTGAAATATGCTATCAACAAGACAAATAAGCTCCTTAACCCAGGGAACTTATAGTCAAGTATAAAAGGCAAATATTAAATTAGATAATCCCATAAATAAACCATCAGAGACTATAATACTTGCTGTGAAAGAAAAGTTATGACAAGCTGTGAGATGTTCTTGATATGTTCTCAGACAGTCCATGAAAGAGGCATTAAGTTCTGAAGGACAAATAGAAGTTACCTAGGAAAGGGGTGGCAATGGTGGAAGGGTGGCAAGGAGCTGTCCAAACAGAGGAATGGTGAGTGCTAAGACCCCGGGGCAGGAGAGGGTACAGAGCATCTGAGGACCTGAACGAAGACCAGACTGGCTGACCACAGGGAGCAAACAGGAGAGTGGCCCAACATGAGATGGAAAGGGAAGCCACTGGATGTTTTTAAGCAGGACTGACATGGAAAAATTTGTATTTTACATCACTCACGATGCTCTGTGGAGAATGAATCAGAGAGGACCAGAGAGCAAGTGGAAAAACCAACATGGAAGGAAGGAGAGGAAGAGAAAATAAGAGCGAACACACAACCCTGTGTTAATTGGGAGGCAGCACAAGTAGAGATAAGAGCATAGCCTCTGAATCAAACTGCCCAGCTTGGTGTCCTGGCTTAGTTACTTACTCTATGACTTTAGCAAATTACCTAAGCTCTCTCAGTTTCCTCATCTCTAACATGGATTAGTATCTATCTCCTAGGTTGTATGAGGATTACATGACTAGTATATTAAGAGTATTAAAATACTACCTGGCACACAGTAACTTTTCATTGAATGTTGTGGCCTAAGGTGACACAGCTACTCCATAAAACAGTTAAGTACTGAATTGCTCTGATTACAGTTGGTGGTGGGCTGGGCTGGGCCCCGAGCTTCATGCACTTGTCGTCTCCACACCGCTCTGTCCTAGTCCCACCCAGACAGTCCTAAGTTCCTGGGACTTCAGTGATGCCCTGTGTGCCAAATAAGGTTGGCCTCAGAGTGGCCTATTGGGAGCCTGTCTCCTGAGCACTGTGTGAAAAAATGGGGTGATAGCAGCTGATCAGTTTAAGAGTTCTAGCCTGCAGAGCCACTCTTGATCTTCCAGACAGGATGCTTACGAGAGGCAACTGATCAATGTTTCTCTCACACAATGTTTCTCTTTCTCTCTCCCCTAAAAAAATAGTTTAAGCACTCTTCTGATTGCTGATGTGTATATAGTTTAAAGAAACAATAGGTGGGGGGGTAGGGAAGGCCACAAAATGGACAGGAACAGCTTTGAAGGAAATATAGATCTCAGGACAGTACAGTGGACAGAAATGCCGTTGAAGGAACTTCTGAGAAGTTTACGGCTGTCTTCACCATCTGCCTGCTTTACTCACTCCATTTCCCTCTATGCCCTTCCCGAGACATGATTTTAACCCAGTTTGAACCAGAGACTCCGTCAACACTGGGTTCTAACCTCCTACAGATTTGCTAGGGGACAAGGAAGCCCATACATCAACCCCAGGTCCCACCCCAGGAATGGCCCCCTGAGATCTCCTGGCCCGTGGCTGTGCAGGTTCACTGGAAAGTAAATACAGAGTCTGTGAACCAACAACCCAACCAGCTATTCCAGAATTAGGTCACAATGAGGGATATTTGGACTACTGTGTACCAAAAACCTGCTCCAAGCTATTTCCAACATTCCTGACTAGATACAACCTCCAAATGATTCTGATTTACATGTATGGGACTATGGGACCACAAGGGCAAAAAGGCCGCATGTATCTGAAGACCAGGGTGGCCTATAAATCTGAACTACCTGTGGACAAACGAAAGCACCCAAAGGTCAAAAGACATGGGAAGATTTGGGCCCTCCCAAGATAAGGCGGGCTGCTGGACAGCACAGCCACACAGAGGCAGAATAAGAAAACAAACAAGAGCTCTAAGATTATAAACACAGTACTTGTTCATTGAGAGCAGGTGTAGCCAATGGAGGATTTTAAGCAGGGAAATATGCCAAGGTGGAAAGAAAACTGGCAATTGGTCAAGTGACCCAGCAGCCTTGGAGAAGTCAGGTAACTCCTGTTGCAGAGGGCAGAGCTGGTGGCACTGTTCTTCAGGGCAGCACAGCCTCTCTCCGCCTCTCCTCATTTGGCCAGGGCCAAGTTTGTGGATTGCAGCTGCTCTGCCTCCTGGCAGATGTTCTGCTCCACTGTGTCGCACTCAGCTAGGAGTGCCTGAAAGATCAATGCAGGGCAGTGAGGATCCACCCAGAGTTAGCCAACCCCAAAGCTCTGTGCTCAACTATTCTGGAGAACCTATGGGTGACTGGCTCATGTTGAAACAGGCTGCGCAGGGAGTGCCTGGGCTCCAAAGTAAAAGGATAGGGAGGTAGAGGGAAGAGCAGTACCAGGGTTTCTGACAATTCTCTAGGCCCATAACCACCAAAAGGAAGCCTTGACACTGCAACTGCACAATTTCAGGGGTACACTGTACATATGAATGGTGCCTCCTAGAACTGTACAATGTGTCAGCCCATCTGCTCTCCAGTGATCTTCCTTCCCAATCAGTTTAAATCCAAACATAATTACAGGGACATGACAGGAGCAATTCTCTTATATTCTGGGTTCACGCTGAATACCAACCAAAAAAAAAAAAAAAAAGCCACGCAACTTCTACTATATCCTTCTTTGAACAGATAAACACATACACCAACCCTTTATACCACGCATGTCAAACTCAAAGGCTAACATGGGCCAAATAAATGAGGCATTGCAGCCTGCGAGTTTGACATGCTTGCTTTACACTGTGTAATGCTCTACCACACAACTCACCTGAACCCTTTTCACCAAACCCTTCCTTTTCAGTCTACTGTCTTTGAAATTTTCTGGCAGAACCTATGGAAGAATAAGTTGACACATAAATAATTCGGTAAAACTGATATAAGAACACATCAGAAATATCCATAGTACACCAAGTTGGTCATGGGTCACCAACGGGAATGAGACATGAATTTCAGGAATAATTTTTCTGGGTCGGCATCCTACATGACCCTTCCATGGCTCTTGCTCCTATAAAAGCTCCCTTTGTTCTGTGTCTGGGCCATAGAAACTGATCTGTAATTTGGACTTTGTTCTTTCACTGTTTCCTATGTATGGATACTATGTTGTGGCCATAACATGAGCTCACTGTGGCAAGGAAAGCACCTTTTGCTTCTTTTTTTATAAGCCCCCTCCTTATTACCCCACCCTCAAATCCCAAGCAGAGTAGCTCACCCTCAAGAATGAGGCATCAGGCTAGAAATATCATTTAATTTACTATCATCTATAAAAGGGAAAGTGGTGTCATTGATTCCCAACAGCCTCACAAGAACTGGGTCTGATTGAATTCTGTACAGGTAATGAACTCAGTGGAATATCAGTCACATGAGTATCAGGAAAGTGAAGGCCTGTGTTTCTCTGACCATGAGACCATAGACCATTTGGATCCAAGCTTCATGAGGATTAGGTGCTACTAGCACATGTTAATAAAAATTTGAGAAGCCTTATGCTGGTGGGATGTGGGTGGTTAGAAATCAGGAATTGTCTTATCTTTCTGTGTATTCACCTAAGACCTACCAGTATCTCGCATACAGCAGGTGCTCAACATCCTCAGACAATAAGGCCTCATTACTGAAAGAGTGAAACTGGCTGAAATATAGTCAAAGGAAACTAGTTCTTCTCAGGTTAACATTTACTTACTAGTGCATCAATCTCCTCCAAGATCTTCATAAACTGCTCAATTGTGGCTTTTACTTTCCTATCGAGTTTGCAGAGAGCTTCAGCTTGCAAATCCTTGGCCAGAAAACCCTGTGGAGAAATAATGCATTTTTGCAAGGATTCCTTGAAGGTGATGAAAAACGCCAAGCTGAGGTACTGATGAAGGAGCCACACTTTGAATCCATATTCCTCCTAATAGGCTGGGCCAGACCTCAGACCCACAACTTCATCTCTTGGGGAAAAATGAAAGCTGGCCCTGGGCCACCCTAAACACTCTAACAGGCCACTCTAAAATAAACCACTGGGGCTGCAAATGCCTCCTGAGGACTGGCTTTAGCGAAGCCAGAAGAGTATACCTACACACAAGAGCCAGACATTAAGAGCACAGGGTTAGCCCTGACTGATTTGGCTCAGTGGATAGAGCGTCGGCCTGCGAACTGAAGGGTCCCAGGTTCGATTACAGTCAAGGGCATGTACCTTGGTTGTGGGCACATCCCCAGTAGTGGCTCAGTGGATAGAGCGTCGGCCTGAGGACTGAGGGGTCCCGGTTCGATTCTGGTCAAGGCCATGTACATGGGTTGCGGGCACCTCCCCAGTAGGCGATGTGCAGGAGGCAGCTGATCGGTGTTTCTCTCTCATCGATGATTCTAACTCTCTATCCCTCTCCCTTCCTCTCTGTAAAAAAATCAATAAAATATATTTTTAAAAATTTTTAAATTATTAGAAGAAAAAAAAAAGAGCACAGGGTTTAGAGTTGGATAGGACTGAAGTTAAATTCTGACTGCTATTTACTTGCTTGTGATCTTGAGCAAGTTATTTAACCTACCTGTGCCTCAGTGTCCTCATTTCTAAAATGGAGGTTATGATACCCACACCGCATAGGGTTACTGTGAGGATAAAGAGGTATATATGTAGACCCTTAATATAATTCCTGACACAGACATGCTACCAAATGGCAGCATTTACATTATTTTTATTAAATTGTCTTGCTGTTTATTCACATTGCTTGGCCAAATGACCAGTTAGCTGGTGACAACAGGGATCTCTGAAGATGTTTATCAAAACCGAGAGTTACAGATGCAGATTTGACAACATGTAGTAAACATTAGCCAACAATTTCAACTAAAAAATTTATTCTATCAGAAATATGTAGTCAAAAATAATTTATGTCTAAAGATTTCAAAGAAGCATTATGAAAAATGGCAAAAGAACATTAGGAGATATGAAGAAACCGGGTATTTGAAACAGTGAGTTCTCCAAAGCTGACTTGAGGATGAAGGGGGCAAGGAAGGAATGTGGGTGGCCTTTGGGAGCTGAAAGCAGGCCCTGGCTTATGATCAACCTAGAAATGGGCTTCTCAGCCTTACAACTACAAAAGGAACTGAATTCTGCTACAGCCACAGGCGCTTAAAAAAAGGAGCCTGAGGTCCAGAAAGAAATGCAGCTCAGTTGACATCTTTTTCTTTTTTTTCAGTTGACATCTTGATTTCAACCTTGTGAAACCCTAAGCAGAGAACTTAGCTCAGCCATGCCAACTCCTGTCCCACGGGAACTGTGAGTTGAGCCAATGATAATAAAATTCCTAGAAATGGGAGATGATACAACAAAGAAGTTGCCATGGTGCATAAAGAGAGCACTGGTTTGTTAGAATTGGAGGGCAGACTCCTGGTCCTGGGAAGGCTGCTTTCCAGTATGAGTGGTACTGAACTTGGATTATTTCTTGTCAGAGGGAGGCCTCAGAAGAAACCAACCCTGCACACACCTTGATCTTGAACTTCCAGCCTCCAGAACTGTGAGAAAATAAATTTCTACTGTTTAAGCCATCCTAAACAAACTAATATATACACATGGCGAAATGCTTTGAATGGTTAAATATAAGTAGGGAATGTACAGATGTTCATTCATTCTGCTCATTTTTTCAACTTTTCTGTATGTTTGAAAATGTATATACTAAAAAGTTGGAAGGACCAAAAAAAAAAAAAAAGAACATTAGCTGATAAACAATAGAGAATTGGTTAAGTAAACCATGCTATGTAAGTTTTAAAAAGTATGGTCATTTTTAATGACAGAAAATGTTCAACATTTTTATCCAATAAAAAAACAATTTACAAAGTGTACATAACACCATATCAAATATTCTTAAGAATGGAAAAGTAAATTCCAGTCTTTAGTAATGGTTATCTTTGAGTTGGGGCCTTATAGGTAATTTCTATTTTCCATATTAGTGTTCATATGTTAATTTAAAAGTTATATACAATCAGCATGTATTACTTTGTAATTAAAACATAACCATACATCCATTAAAGTTATAAAATGTGGAAGTCAAAGACAAATATGTGGTTTGGGACTGTTTCTAATCCTTACTTGGTTTCTAATATAAGAAACCATCTCTTAATATAAGAAATTGAATTGGATGACCACTCCACTAAGATCCGCTCAACTTGTACCTCCTATGAATCAACAAAATATCCTTTGCTTTGCTAAACACTTTATAACAAACTAGACCAGAGATTTTCAACCTTTTTTATCCCATGGTACACACAAACTAATTATTAAAATTCTGTGGCACACCAAAAAAGAAAGTTCTTAGGGCAGGTACAAAGTCAAAGCCCACAAAGAGTTACCTGCTGGATTCCAATAAGCTCTTTGTTTAACTCTTCCAGTTGGTCAGCTATCTTCTCCACAGACTTCTCCAAACTTTTCAACTTTTTTAGTTCAACTTCTTCCTCTGGACTGTTCTAAAATGTTTAAGAATAAAACAAAGCCAATAATTACCAAGAACACTATCCCCTGTCAGAAATTTTTTTTTTTTTTTACCACAATCAGACTAAACCACTCACCAAAAAGAAAGTCTTAACTCTGTTGCTTCTTGGGAAGCAAATTGGAGGATATACATTAAGTTTTCAATCTACAAAAGAGTCTAGAGTAGAGAGAAGGTATTAGGTAAACATTCTGGCAAGGTCCTGACAATTTGGATTCAGAGAATAGAGCCAGACTCAACCTCAGCCTGGGGATGATCATCAATAGCCAGACTGATCCCTGGAGAGTGAACAAATTTTGAACACCTGTGAAGAATTCAGAATTTCAATATAGGTGGAATTCTACTATTCCTTTAAATAGAATTACAAAATGTCATCCACCAACATGACAATGATGAATACTATTATTTATCATTCTCTCTATGCCAGATACTATCCCAAGCACATTACCTGAATGATTGTTTTAAGCCTTATCAAAACCCAATGAGGTAGGTACTATTTTAAATGATAAAATTGAGGTTGTTGTGACCTAAGGTCACATAGCCCAAAAGAAGTAGAGCTGAGATTTGAATCAGATTTGGTTCTACAAACCCCAGGACAGCTCCAATCAGGGGTCCTAGAGTTTCTTCAAACTCAACCTTTGGGCTCTGCCCACCCATCACCATTCTCCCGGACCCTTGAGCAAGAAATCTAGAATATTTCCCCTTCTCTCACCTAAACAATTGGCAGTCAGAGCCAATATCTTCCTGATTTTATACTATTCCAAATTATTCACATTCTACTTAGTGGCGAAATACTGAGTGCCAGTCTCCTAGCAGTTCCAAGTCTGGATGGGATTTTCTTTGCCTCTACTTTGCTAATCTCACCCTCTCTCCACTCTGAGTCAGCCATCTCATTCAAAGTAAGGGAACTTCATGTGACCAACAATTCCACTGTGTCACAATGCAGGGCTGGCCATGGCCCTCTCTCATCACCAATAGGCAATTGTCCTCACCTGTCACTAACTGGCTCTTTTTCTCCCTCAGTTCTTTAGTCTGAACCTTTCTTTCTGGCCAGTTTTTTACCCAATGGGTAAAAAGGGTGGTTAAAGGGTAAAACTTTTATTTATTTTTTAAATCTCCAGGCTTAACAAATTGTTCCTTTGCAAATCCCCTCCAAGTAAGGCCTGTCTTAGGCACCTTATAACCAGACTGAGGTTCTACCACCAACACAAAAGTTATGTTATTGAGGCAGCACAGCTGCTCCAGGCTTTCAGAGCGAGACCCCTAACCAACAGAAGCCAGAGGGCATGAGAACAAAACTGGTAAACACATCACACAAATGGAGACTACATTTGTTTAGAGAGTGCTTCACCAATGCAGCATTTAGGTCCCCCATTTTGCCTTCAACACAGAAATACGCATAAAAGGCCTTAGCATTTGATTTGGTTGTGTTCTGGTGGAAAAAGTAATTTACCTTTTTCCCAATTAACATGACCCGGCAACCATTTTGTATTCCAACTGCAGACAATGGCTTCTCCATTTCCTTCAGAGACTGTCCTGAAGAGAAGAAAAGACTGCCAAGTTGTAACAATTGCACAGCACTGAAAACAGATTTCAGCAAGGGTACAGGAGAGAGACAAGTGTGTTCACTTATGAGAAGAGGATAAGTTGGTGTGATCCTTCTAGAACTAGGTGTCTTGACTCAGTAATTTCACTTCAGCTATTACTGTAAACAAATAACTGGATGTGTGCCTGCACAATAACACTTTACAGTAATTTTTAGTGCAACCTTATTCATATGGAGCAGCGGTTCTCAACCTGTGGGTTGCAACCCCTTTGGGGGTTGAACGACCCTTTCACAGGGGTCGCCTAAGACCATCAGAAAACACATACATAATTACATATTGTTTTTGTGATTAATCACTATGCTTTAATTATGTTCAATTTGTAACAATCAAATTGGGGGTCACCACAACATGAGGAACTGTATTAATGGGTTGCGGCATTAGGAAGGTTGAGAACCACTGATACAGAAACAGGAAAGAGCCAAAAATTCAGGAATAGGGGGTGATGAACTATACATCAGTACAATAGAAGATTTTGTAGGCATTAAAGCTCATTTTTTAAAAGAAACTTCAAGGCCACAATGAATGTTGGTAACCCAGTGTTATAAGAAAAAAAATGTTATAAAAACTGTATAACCAATATAAGCCTAGTTTTTTCAACCAAAAAAAAAAAAAAGTCCACAAACAAGAACCCACACGTCTGGAAGCCAGAACAAACAAACAAAATAAAAGGCTGAACAGAAATATGCTAAAATGTTATGAGAGGTTTTAGCCAGGAGGGCATTTCTTCTTTGTGCTTTCTTTATTTTGAAACATGAATTTCTATTCCCTTTATAATTCTAAAGCAAAATGTTTTTAAAATAAAAAACAAGGAGTTACACTGTGAAGTATAAATACAAGTACTTCCTATCACTAAATTCTTTGTAACTGGCACCAAATGAGGTAAAGTTGGCCCCATCAGATAGCAAAATAATGGGTTACCATGAGAATGGGAAGACAGAGGGAGGAGGTGTGGAGTGGGTAGGTCTGGCAGAAATCAGCATTCCCCACGGGGCCTGCTACAGCCAGGCTCCTCGTGAGTGTGTTCATTCAACACTCTCTGTATCAGCACTGTGCTGAGCGCTGGACACACAGCAGTTTCTCTGCCCTCACAGAGTTTCTTATTCTAACAGAGAAATCAGATATTCAGCAACTACAAAAACAATTATTTAATAGTAACTTCAATGTAAGTTATGCCGAAGTGGTAGGGAGTGCCATGTTAACATACAATGGGAAGAGGATATAACTTAGCCAGGGAAGACTTCATTAAAAGTCCATATGCTTCATTAAAAATGGTAAGATTTCGTCCTGGCTGGTATGGTTCGGTGGATAGAGCGTCAGCCTGAGGACTGAAGGGTTCCAGGTTTGGTTCCAGCCAAGGGCACATGTCTGGGTTGTGGGCTTGATCCCCAGTAGGGGGTGTGCAGGAGGCAGCCGATCAATGATTCTCCCTCATCATTGATGTTTCTATCTCTCTCTCCCTTTCCCTTCCTCTCTGAAATCAATAAAGAAATAAATTTTTTTTTTTTAAAAATGGTAAGATTTCTGTCACCCTCATGTGACTTCAACTCTTATACCTGTCCAAATGTTTGGAAGTGTCCAGTACATAGTAGGTCCTCAATAAATATTTGCTGAAGAAATAAATGAATAAACAGCAAATAAGAATTGTCTAATCTTGAAAGCTATGAGTTACCATTAGGTATGATTAAGCAATTATAAATAGGTCATTTAGCCATAAGGGCTCAAAGCTGGAAGAGAAATGCCTACCCTTAAATATGAGTTTCTGAAAAGGTAGCGGGACTCCTGTGGCCTCTTCAACAACCTGGGCTAGATCTTGGACAATTGGTTCAATACTGCCCTGTTGCGGGGTAACATGAACGTCGTGCTTCTCATTGCCTGAGGAGAGAGAAAAGGGTTCAATTAAGAAAAATTTTCCACCAGTATAGGCTGACACTTCATTATATTTATGTAGCCAGCCTTCAGCCTTCAAAGCCCAATTCATATGCCCCCTACTCCAATCAGCCCTCCCCCATTTGTCCAGCTTCTGGTGACCTGCTCAAGGATTTCTGTTTCCACTGTTATAACTAACAATATTAGTGATATCAGCTAATATCTGAGTACTTAACATGCACAAGGGGCTGACCAGTCTTATTGCATGCATTATCTTACTTAATCCTCAGAACAACCTATTATGCCCCATTTCACAGATAAGTAAACTGTGAGTCAGTCCAGGTAAGACCTGTCTATAGAGACCCAACTGTGGAGTCAGCACTTGACATCTGATCTGATACCAAGGTCCATGCTTTTTATCACAAGCCATCTGCCTCCTGTGGCCTGACTGCCCTGTAGTCTGTACTGTACTGGCCTTTGTCTTCTTTGCTATAAGGGACAAGGGACTGTTTTCCCTCCAAGTCTCTCCCACTGGGCACACTTGGACACATACATGGTTGGTGCTCAGTAAACAGACGAATGAGCCCTGGCCGGTGTGGGCCAGTGGGTCAAGTGCTGGTCAAGGGCATGTACCTGGGTTGCAGGTTCACTCTCAGTCTCCTGTGTGCCAGGGTGCTGGAGGCAACCCATCCATGTGTCTCTCACATCAATGTTTCTCTCTCTCTCCTTCCCTCCTTCTCTCCCTTCCACTCTCATAAAAGCAATGGAAAAAATAGCCTCAAGTGAAGATTAACAAAAAAACAAAACAAAACAAAACATAGACAAATGAGTGAATAAACTCAAAAACAGCAGAAAATTTCTTTTTGGAGCAGAGGTGCCAATTCTCTTTCAGGTATGTGGGCAGTAGGAGGTAGTCTGTTTACCTTGCACCAGGCTAAGCCTTGAGCCTGCTCAACAGACTGGAAGTCAATGGGACAGGTGTGTTGTTGTTTTTTAATATATTTCCATTGATTTCAGAGATGAAGAGGGAGAGAGAAACATCAATGCTGAGAGAGAACCATTGATGGGCTGCCTCCTGGACGCCCCCTACTGGGGATGGAGCCAGCATCCCGGGCTGGGACGCTTCAGTCCACAGGCCAACGCTCTATCCACTGAGCCAAACCAGCTAGGGCTGGGACGGGTGTTAGCAACTCTCCTTCACAGAGAACAGCTAGACGCCTAGATATGAGACATCCCAGGATCACTCAAAAATTCAAGATCCAGCATCCTGGTCTTCAGATCGGAGGCCCTGGAGTCTCCCACGGTTGGTCCTGAGGAAACCTCATGGACGTGGCTCGCCCATGAATTCACGGTGTAGTTCGGTGTCAACGCCAGCAGTAGACAGACCCAAAGGGGGCCCAGAGGGTATGCCTGGACCCACGGCCCACGCAAACAATGTACACGAGTCACACAGCAGCCATACACATGGCCAAATACAAGCCTGACACAAAGACCCACCATAACTGTGCCGGCCACACATGAACACGTACAACCGGGGCCACGACGTGGAGCACGCAGGCGAAGATCAAACAAATGACCTGAAACAAAATGCTGCGCCACAGAAAAAGGTGTGCTGACACAAGACCCGCACAAAAACCGGCCCCGCGGACACAAACCCACGCTTCCGGGCGCCAGGACAAACACCAGGACACGCGCTTCCGGAGGACCCGTGGCCACACACACAGGCCCTGCCGGATTTTCCTGGCCCGGCACGGGGCCCACCCGGCCGCCCGTGCTCACTGTGGGTGACGGTCACGCTGAGTCCGGCTGCCGCCATTTCTTCATTCTGGGCCACTTCTTCAGTCGGGGCCGCCTCTTCGCTCTCGGTCACCGCTTCGCTCCGGACCACCTCTTTGCTCCCGACTACCTGTTCGTTACGGGCCACCTCTTTGCTCCCGACAAACTGTTCATTACGGGCCACCTGTTCGCTCAGCATCTCCTCTTCGCTCAGCACCTCCTCTTCGCTCCGGACCCCCTCTTCGCTCCGGGCCACCTCTCTGCTCCGGGCTGAGTGAGTCCGTACTCTCCTCT